TTGTTGTATTTGTTCCTGTTTTTGTGAGAGTGAACATGGTGTCTAGTTTTCTTGTTGTTGTATTTGTTCCTGTTTTCTTCCTTCTCCTTCTCTCTGTCTTCTTTACCAGTTTCCCAGTTTGGGTAATCTTCCTTTGTTCTCCAGCCTTGCTTCTAATCTCTTCCTCTTGTTCTATTTCTCTGTTTTTCTCCGCTGTAGTTCCTTTTAAATTTTGTCCCCTGAGGGTAAGATTGTCATATTGAAGGCTTATTTACTGCATACAAGTTTTGGTTCATTTAAAATTTTGTTATATAACCACAAATCTAGTTCATACAGTTAAAGTTGGCAAATTAATAGTTACCACAGTTTATTATTTTCTAGGCGGTGCTTGATACTGTTGTTTTTGCTGATGCTACTTTAACTAAGGTGACATAATTGTTCTAATCAGTTGTTCTTCCTGGTATGCCAAGACTGAGATTGCCTAAGGATCATAAATAATACAATAGGCCAGTGCCAAAGAACCAGGGGCTGGGCCAAGAGGGCAGCACCTTATCTCCAATAAATTAAAGGGGTAGGATCTTGCCACAGTGTCAAAACTATAATGTGTTTAAGTATGTCTTTATTACTATTTTGTCATTCCCCTTTATGACATTAAAAATAATTCTAACATGTAGTCTTTGTATAACTTATTTTAGTTTTTATAAGTTCTTATGAGAATTTAAATATGATAACTGTTGATATTGATGCTAAATTTCCTCCTATAGAAATTGATCTAAAAGAAGTATCATGTGAAAGTACTTTTCATCTTACATAGTTTCTGGGATATTAGTGTTTATAGTATCTTAATTTTTTATAGTTAAAGATGTGCTTTGCTTTCTAAGTTTAGATTTTTTCATTACTCACAAATACATTTCCTTATTTCTTGTGCTACTTGGGTTTTCATTTGTCAATACTCTTTTATTTTCTATATATTTTTGCCCACGAGTTGTTAACTGTCTAAGATCATTGTTCTTTCCATTTATCTCAACTATGTAATGAAAATATGTTTTCTTTTAGAAATATATTTTATGCTTTTCACGTGCTATTTGCTTTTAAAAGTTACACTTCGCCTTGTGACTTCCTTTATTAGATTCTTATGTTTTGATGTCTTATCTACCATTTCTCATATTTATCCTTAACTAAATGCTGTAGTGCAAAATATGATCTTATACTAGATGACCAGGCAGAAGACTCAAAATCAGGTCACTCACACACAAGTAAGAAACACAAGAAAAAAACACGACACTGCTCTGAAGAAAAGGAAGATGAAGACTACATGCCAATCAAAAATGTTAACCAGGTATTTCCAATGCCCAGACTTAGGTATGGAGAAGCATACACAGTGGTACCTTTGTTCATGTTCTGTGATTTTGGAAAAGAGAGCCCACGATTCTGTAGGAAAGATGGCTGTGGTCATGTCTGGCACCTGACACACAATTTGCAAGCAAAAACAAAATTTTGGCAAATGTGTGTTTGTCAGTCAAATTGTTGACAAAACCATTTGTGAACTGATGTACTGCTATATGTTGTCCCTGTTTTGTTTTGGTTTTTTTTGAGACAGGGTTTCACTGTGCCGTTCAGGATAGCCTTGAACTCAGTGATGCTCCTGCCTCAGCATCCCAAGTGCTGGGATTACAGGTGTGCACTACCATGTCCAGCTGTTGTCCCTTTTTAAATTACCTCTTGGTGGTATAATTTAGGAGGTAATGGATCGTTCTGCATAGGGATAGGTATATAGTTCCTAGCTCCAAAATGTAGATTGGTTGTATGTGGTAATGGGCTTTAATTTTCAAGAATATGTATCACAAGGTATAAAAGATTGTTTTCACAGTGACTTATTATATTTCTATGTTGTCAAGCAAGAGCAGTTTTCATAACTGTGTGTACTCATTTATTCCTATCAAAACAAGTGTGGCTGTGCTGGAAAACTGCTTTTCAGTTGTTAATGAATCAGGAAGTATTTTATGCATAGCACTTGGAGTCCTGGAGGTTTTACCGCCTATGAAACATTTATGTCCTTCCATATGGTGCATATGAAATAAAACTACACTAATAATTAATTCAATCATCCCAAAGCTCTCCTGAATGAATTATTTTCTAAAATAATGAAAATTCACCAGAGAAAATTGATGAAGAGATCATTTCTAACCTGTGTTTTGTCTCTTGTTAAATAAAAAGCAAATTATGTCTCAGTCCCTTGCTTGTTTTAGCACATGGAAGACATGTGAACTAGGTCCTAGTTGGGGAGGATTTCAGCAGGCTGAGGTGATTAGGGTGAGTGATGCAAAGACAGATGGAATATGGGATAGTAGGCAAGGTTAAGAACTTGCTGTCCAAGCAGTTAGGTCTGTATTTCTCACTGCTAGTTATCGATATGACCCTACCAAGTTATTTAATTTTCCAAGCCACAATTTTCTCTTCTGTGAAACTGAGATAATACTTGACAGGTATGTGTTAAGATTAAATGAAAAAATTGTGTGTATAAACATTTTTATCATTGAATATTCTTACTGCCACTACTTGTACTATTATAGGCAAATTACTATTTTAGAGTTAGTGGTAATAGTGTCTCCTGTGGTTATGTCATTAACAGGGTTCATATTTTAATTAATTATTCTCATTTTATTTTTGAAGTTAAAGGATTGCTTAAACATTATTTTGGTTTGTACGTTTAAAAACTGTATGGTTGGAAAATAAAATATACAACATACATAGTGGTACATACAAAGAACTTACTTATATTCTTTTTTTTTTTTTGTACCGGGAATCAAACTCAGGACCTTGTACCTGCTAGGCAGGTGCTGTGTCGCTGAACTATATCCCTGGGCCCAAACTTACTTGTATTCTTGTTTCTTCTCCTTTTTCTTCTTCTCCCATAGGTAACTATTTTACATATTTTGTGGTTTCTTCATTTAACAAGTTTTCAGTGAATACATATTTGGTAAATATTCTTGGCTTTCTGCGTCCTGGGTAGCATACATCCCTACCCTTTGCTCTTGCCAGCAGAGGTATAGTCTTCTTTCTATAGCCCATTAACTATTTAAAGATTGCCTTCATTCATGCCCTGTCCAAGTTATAAAATATGCCTTTGTCTGTTTCTTTAAATATTCCTCCCATGAGTCAGTAATAATGTGAGCAGTAGTAGCTGACATCTTTATTGTCTTTGTAATGTGAGGTGATTTGTTTTGTCCCCATTTCACAACAAAGAAGACAGTAAACATGAAAAAGATTGTTGCTGGTCCATGGTTTTACATAGCTAGTAAGTAATGGAACCGGTTTAGATCAGATTCATACTCCTAATGACTCTACTGCTGTTCTTACCTAGAATATATTCCTGTCAGTTTTCTCTCCTCAATCCTGTTATTCTGCCAAGAATAATTTGCCCATAGTGCTGTTTCAGTGAAGTATAACAGAAGTGTCTTCTCCCTCTTAATTTCTGTACTTAGTCAAGATCATCCCCTGCAAAAGAGTCACCCTAGAGTTTTTTCTTTTTTTTTTTTAAAGCAAGGTCTCACTGTGTAGTGCAGGCTGACCTTGAATTTACTTATATAACCCAGGCCAGCCTTGAACTTGTGATTCTCCTGCCTCAGCCTCCTGAGTGCTGGAATTACAGGCCTGTGCCACCAACCCTGGAACCCTAGACTTTTAAAGTGGTAGTCATATCACATTCTTAGGCATTTTTAGCATTCTTTCCACTAAAAAGCTTAATCCTTCCCCCACCCAAGCACGTGCTGCTTTTAGTTGCACCTTTTCACCCTGAACTTGTATATAGAATCTTCAGTGAATTGAGGCCAGAGATAAACTTCGGTGTGTGTGATATGATCAGAGATCTAAAAAAATGGGAAGACTGCCTACGTTTTAAGACTGTCCTCTCCTCACTTTTGAGTCTTTTGATCCAGCTATTCATGATTATGTAAGGCTTTATAGTGGCAGGTGCCCTCTTTTGTCATCACACTTTTGGGGAGGAATGCTGTCAACTGCTGCTGCTTTTTAGTTTTACTTCTTGGCGTACTGAGAGTTGAACCCAGATCCTGGCTAAGCAAGTGCTCTACCATTGAGTCCCCTGGCCCTTTTTTATTTTGTATTTTGAGACAGAGCCTTACTAAGTTGCCCAGGATAGTCTCAAACTTGTGACTCACCTGCCTCAGCCTGAGTAGTTGGGATTATAGGAGTGTTCCATCATGCTCAACTTGCTGTTAGCATTGTAGAAAGAATTTTAAGGGAGTTGGTAACTATAAAATTGCTAAATTCTAAATAATAATCTCTTAACTCATTTCTTTTCCTTCAGTGTATTAAAACATTTTTTGCTGTTAAACTTTGATTTAATAATATAGCTACATTACTTTTCTCATTTTCTTTCTAATAAAACTCAGCAGCAGTATTTTTTATTTCAGTCTGAAAGACATAATAATTAATTTGTACCGTTAGTTACATTTCAGGTCATACCTCACATTTTCCTATTTGTTGGTATTTTGCTGAGAGAGTACAGTTTCCTAAGAATGTTTTATTTCTTCAGATTGCTTTTTATTCAACAGCCTTACTATTCAATTTGAAAATTTCTATAATTTTTTCCATCTCATGTCTTAATTCCAAAGATCGTTTTCCTGTTGTTGAAGTTTTTAGTTTTACTGGGGTTACAGGAAGTGAGGTCGACTGGCTGAGAAATACCCATACTGGGTTTTAGTTCTCCCCTGGTGTATTTGTAGTGTATGTGCAGTGCCTCTAATACTTGTTATGCTAGAGGTGATGTTTTTGGCAAACAGGTGGGATTTATTTTGTCAAGTTCTTCTTGCTTATTTTAGTCTTTCCTTACTGTACTCCTGTGTTGGATTAACAATATTTATGAATAAGAGAGCTAATTAGATGTTTTATCTTATTGTTAACTAATTAATTTTATGTTGTTATAAACTTGTTCGAGGAGAGCTAACTCTCGGTACTAATATTAACATTATTTCTTCTATGTGGTTATAGATTCCTTGGAACTTAGAACTCTACTTTTGTTGTGACTTAAAGAATTTGATATTATTTTAGTGACTTAAATGTAATTGAATATTTGATTTAATCCCAGAGATCCGAGCAAGGCTAGTTTTTAGTCTGATTAGACATATCTTGACTACTTTATATCAAGTCATTTGCTGTGTTGATTGCTTTAAATTGGCCTGTGGGTGTGTGTGCTTTCTTTCCCTTTCTGGCCATCTTATTTCATTCCTTAAATGTATAAAATAATAGAACTTCTTGAAGTCTGTAGTAGAAAGGACTTAATGCTCACTTTATTTTCTTCACTTTAGATATGAAGATGGAGATCCTACAAGCTTTTAGATCTTTGTAATTAGGGGGAACCTAGAACTTTATTTGTTTTAATTCAGTCAGTTCTTTTTTCTTTTCCCTTTATTCTTTACCATCCTTACATTTTCAGTTTTGTATGTCAAATTACTGATTGGTTAAATAATTATCTACAACCTGTGTAGATCTCATGAGTCTCAATCTTTCTGCTTCTAGTACGAAGGTAATACTATACTCCTGAAGAGCTTTGCACTGTACTGGCGCATAGTTGGAGGGTCTGGTCTGATAGGACTTCATCTGACCACCTAAGCTTTCTCCTACAAGCACACAGTGCTAATTCCTCCTTGCTTTCCAGTTCTCATTTACACTACTTTCATCAGCCTTTTGGTAGCCAATTCAGACTCAAACCCACTCCCCTTTTGAGGCTCACTTCAAATCCTAACTTCTTGAAACTAATAAATATAATAAGAGTACTTTGCACAGATCTCCTAAATGGCAAAGACCAAGTCCAGATCTGCCTGATGTCAAAGCTTGTTTAGCATTGAGAACTACTCCAAGTAGAAGTGGTTGTAAAATTTCAGTCTCTTTCAAATTTGCAACTTCCTCAGATTTTCAATTAAGTATTTTGTAACTTCTTTTTCCCTTTGGTGCTAAGGAATCACAACCAGGGCCTCACATATGCTAGGCAAGTACTGTGCTACATCCCTAACCCCATAGCTTTTTATCTCTTATTTAAACATTCGTGCACTTACGTGTCTATTTGTGTATGTTGAGGATTTTATGAAGTAATCACTTGCATAAAACCAGGTCCTTAATTATGAGTGTCTGTCACTCTGTTTTCACCCTTTGACACTTAATGCCTACTGGAATACTGTCTGTTGTGATAGAGTAGAGGTCTTTGGGAGTACAGTCCTTAGAAAATTGCCTTTAAAGAAGTTGAATTTTACACTGTCTTGAAAGAGGATTAGCTGTGCTTACATTAGATTTCAGCCATTCACTGAGATACTTGTTCTAATTAAGAGCAGGACACAAACAGAAATAGAATTGTTGTTAACTAGCCCTCTTCTATGGGAAAATGACTGCTACTTCATTACTAAGAATAGAATTAATTACAACCCTTGTATTGTCTGCAGGCAATGGATTATTCCAGTGTTTCTCAACTAATAGTTTTAAGAAATATATAAGTAATAATATTAACAGAAACATAGCAGCCTAATCTAAATATCCAGTGTGTATCTGAAGATTGAGAGAGGCGCAGTTATGAAATAAAGCCCTTTAAAAATTAAACCGGGGGCTGGGGATATAGCTCAGCTGTATAAGTGCCTGCTTGGCAAGCACAAGGTCCTGAGTGCGATCCCTGGTACCACCAAAAAAAAATTAAACAGGGCTTGGAGTGTAGTTCAGTGGTGGAAAGCATGCTTATTAGCATAGGCAAAGCATTGGGTTCAATCCCCAGCATCAGACATTTCCTTGAAGATTATTTGCCCATATCACATTATGCAGAGTCTGTTTTTTCATTTTAGACTCTCTTGTCTAAGACCTCTGCCTCCTGTGCTATTTAAGTGACATCTTAAGGACTGTTACGGTGATTTTAGCAGTTTTATTGTAAATCAGTATGGGATCACATTTTGGGGGGAGTAGAATAAGGGAAAATGGAAATGTGACTATACATTATCAGAACTTCTGATATCATAACATTATAGATTTGTTCTCATTTCTCTTGGGCTGTTTCAGTTCTATGTGGCACTGATACCTCAGGTCAACTAAAATCGTAGTGCAAAACAGTGAGATAGATGAGAAAAATGGTTAAATCTTTTTGAATTACTTTGCTTTCTAATATATGAGGTTCGTGACATTAATGGTATTCAAATTTGAGCTGTTAGAACAGCTTGCTAATGGTGGACTTTTCTAAGTTTTATTTAATTAACAGTGCCCACAAAGTATTCATTTTACAGATTTTGACTGAACTTTCCCTGCATTTCTTTGACAGGATATCTACAGAGAAATGGGGTTTGGTCACTATGAAGAAGAAGAAAGCTCTTGGGAGAAACACAAGAGTGAAAAGAGAGACCGACCTCAAAACCGGAGTCGTAGTCGGTCTCGGGAAAGAGACGGGCACTACAGTAATAGTCACAAATCCAGGTACCAGGCAGACGCGTACGACAGAGAGAGGAGTAAGAAGAGAGACCGAAGCAGAAGCCCAAAGAAATCCAAAGATAAATCTAAGTACAGATAAGAGATGAATTGGGAATGAGTGGTTAACATATTTATTCCTGCCTAATTTAGAGGACCAGGAGAGCAGATGTTTAGGTTTTGTGTCAGAGAAGTTAAAGACTCTACTTGTTATTTTTTTTATACTAGGATTTTAGATTTAGTCTGATAAAATAGGGCACTGAGTGATCAAGAATTGAACCTTTTCTGTGTATACTTTTTTTACACTAATGTTATTATATATAAATGGTAATATTCATTTTCAGGGTTGTTCACATTTTGACTCTTATTTTATTTTTTTGTCCTTTTTTTGAGACAAGGTCTCGCTATGCAGTTCAGGCTGATCTTGAGCTCACTTTATAGCCCAAGCTGGTCTCTAACTTGCAACGATCCTCCTGCCTCAGCCTCTCGAGTGCTGGGATTACAGGTGTGTGCCACCCTGCCCGGCCTCAACTCTTACTTTTTAAGTGAAGTGTTTCATACTGCAAGAATGCATAAGTATGTATATATGAGGTTTAAAGAATAATTAATATGAATGTCTCTGTACTTACGAGCTAGCTTAAGAAACAGAACATTTCCTATATTTCGGGAGTCCCAAATGTGCCCTTTTTCTCAAGTAATTATTATTGTTTTGTCATTCTCTTGTGGTTTTACAACTTTCATATGTATCCCTCAATAAAATGTTAATTTTGTATGTTTTTCAATTTTATATAAACAGCATAGTGTGTGTTTACTTCTGTGGCTTTCTTTTTTCAATGTAACATTTTCAAGAGTCATTTATATTTCTGTTGTATTCTGTGAGTGTGCTGTAATTTGTTCCTTTTGTTGGGCACTTGGGTTTCATATGTTTCGGATTTGCTGTTACAAACCGTGCTGCTACGTGAACATCCTCTAAGAGTAATGCTGCCTGGCCCCATGGTTTGAGTATCTTTATCTCTACAAGGTGTTGCTCAATTATATTTTAAAGTGGCTGTGCCAGTTTACCCCTGCCAGCACTGTCTTTCACTGTTACCCTTGTTTCACATTTCCAACACGCATTCGTTTCAGACTTTAAAATTTTTACCAATCTACTGATTGTTAAAGTGGTATCTTATTGTGATTTCCAGCAAGAGAACTATTGTTCTTATTTATATGTAAGTTATGACTTTTCTTTGACTGCTCTTTAGGTGTTATTTTTTAATCACAGTTTGGTTATGGTGTGTTCAGTGTAGTTTCTTCCTGCTACAGCTGTTTAACTGTGAGTTTATGGCATTCATCAAATTTGGAAATTTGAGGCATTATTTGTTCATTTATGTTTGTTGCTGTAGTCTTCTCCCTTCTCTCCCGGGGCTTGTATGTTAGATCATAGCATAATTTGCAGTTTGTGAAAATAGACCTAACATGATTGTTAAGTCATAATCACAGTTGTCCCATAGCACACTATGCACTG